AACTTCTCAAGAAAGCAGTCTGTTCGAGAAACTGCTCCCTTGGCAAAAAAAACATAAAAAAATAAAAATAAATAAAAACAAATGAGGAGCCAGTGCAAAACTGACAATCTTTTTTTTTATTGATATTGTTTGGTTGTTTGTGTTGTCCATCCGAGTCGCCACACCTCAGGGAGAGAGGGAGCAGGGGCCGTCTGTAGAAACTGAACTGGCAAGAAGAGGAAGTGTCCCCGTGACATTTCTGCACCCTCACTAAAGGGACGCCGACATGCGCTTGATTTTAGCTGAATCTGGTGTGATATGTTAGCCAATAAGAGTTTGTAACAATTGCAACAGAAATGTGATTATATTATATTATATTATATTATAATTAATGTACTGCGTGTTGCATATATTTGTGTATTACATGTCAGCCAGGGTGAGATGAAAGAGAGACCCCTACTGGTCACTAAGGGTGCGTGACCCGGCTCGTAAGGTTATGGTCTGATTAGCAGACGTCAACCGAACTATTTTAACCGAGTCCAATTACTTGGGGTAAGCGCTGGGGAAACTTGAAAAACAGCGACCCCTAACTTGAAGGTTACCTCGTATGCAGTGTCATTTTACTTTTAATGAAAGTCTAGGCAGGAGTAGGGAGCAGTCTGGCGTTGGTGTTTACATCTTGGCCGAAATTCCCTCAATTAAACACCTTTTAATCACATAATTTACAAAGTGTTCTGCGCTTGCAAAAACATCGTGGGAAGAAGCATTTGGTAGTGAGATCCTTCTGAACTACGATAATGATGATGGGATCAAGAGATCAAGAAAATATATGCACTCATAATGCGTATGCTTGGAGATTGGGAACTACACCAGAAAAATTCTGAATAATTTCCCTGAAAAGATTTGTAATATATCCCAATAATAAAATAAATGTTGGGGGTGCTTGAACCCCCTCGAATTGTATTTGGGTAATAAATCGATTTCGTGACACTTTGGTGCATGGAATACAATTATGAATCGAGAAACGCCTTTCATCCTGTTCCAGCAGTACTTGCAAGGTACTTGCCGTGATACCATTGTTGGTGACGGGTTTTGTACTTTAGTGAATCTGTTAGTAGTGAGATCTATTTTCTTTTGAACAAAGAGTTTGCACTTCGAGGTCAGTACCACCAGCCAAAGATAACAAAATGAATACACAGTGAACGGAATAAGAGGGGGAGTTTAAAATTATAGGATTACTTAGCAGGTTTAAAAACTCCCCAGCTGTGTTTTATATTCGTGCTAACCCAGTTACCTTGATTTACTACCAGTGGAAACAGGAAGTAGTGCCGCACAGGCCTGGGAGTGCCCCTCCCCGCTCCACCCCGCCCCGCCATCGCCCCAACACCCCAGAGAGCAGGCAGCATTAGGTCATGTTTGGCTTGATGCTGTCTCGTTTCAGGGTGGGTGACCATGCAGAAGACGGGGGAGCCCCAGCAGCGCGGTCAGGGCCTGCCCCGAATCCCCTGGGAATCTCCTGGAGAATACCCTTGCTGCTCTGGGTGCGATGTGAAACGCCGGCTTCCTGCTCACATTCTCCACCTCCCTGACGGTATTGTTGTTGGCCTGCAGTGCAGAGCAGACGCGAGTCAGACAGACCGTCCCCAGGAGCCTGCAGACTGGCTGCGATATATGTTAGTGGTCAGGCAGACACTTAGCAGCATCTGGGAAACACTTCCAGCCGCCGTCCCCAGACTCTCCCCTCTGTTTCGTTTTTAGATTTTTCACACTCCTCTACCTGCCGAGTTTTTAAACATTTTGTATTGCATTAACGGGGCCAACTTATTAATCAGCTTCCTGTGGTCCCCGAAAAGCAAGAATGTTTTGAATTCTGTCATTCAAAAAAGGAGAGATTTTAGTTAAACACAGACCCAATGACTGCGGAGATGCTAAAAGTACCTTCTTAAACAATAAACCTGAGGAAACACATTCACAATGCATTATAATGCATCCATAAAGCATTATAAACATGGCTATAAATATTTGTAAAAAGGCATAACACATTATGCCATGTTTATTATGCATTATGAATGCTTTATGAAGCTCTCATCTATAATGCACTATAAATACATTTATAATGCAGTACAAAGCCTCCTTAATGCTTATACTGACCATTATAATGCATTATAAAGTTATCTATAGTGCATTATAGATGACAGCTTCATAGAGCATTCATCATGCATAACAGACATGGCTATAATGTGTTGTGTCTTTTTATAAATATTTATAAGAGCTCCTTATTAAGTTTAAATAATAGTCTTTATAGTTTCTGTAAAACTTTTTCTGTTTTCTCTTGCTTTTCCTACATCATTAGGTCTTTTGTTTCATGATGCCTCATTATGTGTATAATCTACTGCATAAAAAATAATGTTTTCTCAGGTATAAGTTTCAGGCAGCTACAGCTGAATGAAACGTTTAAAAACTCTCATTAGAATTTCTAATTATACCAACATGTCAACTGGAATCAATTAAAATGACTTTACATCACCGATAATCCTCACTTCATAGCAGTGGTGACTGACATGTTACTTAGCAGAAACTTCATTCACAGCAGCTATCATTCATTACCCTCACAGAAACTTCACTCACAGCAGCTATCATTCATTACCCTCACAGTGACGTGCCACTCTAATAAAGGGGTCATTGAAGTAGTGGTGCTTTTTTCCATGAGAAAATTAAACTGCCGCTGGAACAACACGGACACAAGAGAGTGGGGCTGTGTTTTTCTGAGTCATTTAACTGCAAGCCATTTTGCGTGCTGGGTGTCGGGAAAATACACATCACTTTCTACTGAGTCTGCTCTTCCCCTTTTCCCATCTGTCTCCCAGTGACTAAGTGGGAAGGTTCATTTTATTCCTAATGCAGCCAAAGCTTAGATCCTTGTATCCAAAGTTTGGATCCTTGGATCAGATCCCATCGCCTCCATCATTACCCACACCCACCTGCCCCTGGTTGTGTGGCCATAATCTAACATTTCTCTAAGCTGTGCCTCATCTGACCAGGAACAATGGGGGAATTAAGTCAATAAATTAAGCGTGAGCTCTGACAAAACTCAGCACAAAGTGGTGGCTTTGTGTCATAAATCAGCCGAAAATATACCTGGGAGAGAAGCAGTGTAGACCGGAGGCTGACATGAGGCTGGGAGGATGAGGAGCTGCCTGAGCATTTAACGGCAAACAGGCATGTGAATTCTGTTCATCTCAAACCTGAACAAGGCGACCCAGAGCAAAGTTCTGCTGTCTCACACATTCTGGGCTGGGGGCTCGAATCCAACCCCTGCTGTGTGTCTGTGGAGTTTGCATCTGCATTCTGTTCTTGCAGGCTTCCTGTCTAACGCTGGACTGGCATCCGATCCTGGGCCGTCTCCTGCACGGTGCCCTATTCTGCCTGGGAAAGGTGATCTGTGAGCCTGAACAGGACAGATGAATATCTGCAAAACTGTCTTTTTGTTTAGTGCAGCCTGCATGGATGCCGCTGTATTCTCACGCATGATTGCACGTGGACACACCAGTTTTCCTGTGTATGTAGTACATAACTAATCCAATGCATTTTTGGATGCACCTGTGTGAATATTTATTTTCAGCCATCCTATGAAAACACCCGTATCCTAGATAAGTTGTTCTTTGGGGTGTGAAGTAATTACATGTGAAATATAATCTATGGAGAATTCTCCGTGGCAAAACCAAGCCAGCTCCATGTGTGAAAATAAGCAGACCAGGTGACCACCACCGAAATGCTGGGGGGGTTCACTACACCCCCCCAGGACATAGAAGTTAGGGTAGGGAGTCATGGTACCCCTTTGTAAACCTTGGCCAGGAGCCATCTGGAATAGCAGCCAGGAAAATGAGCTCGCTGTCTGCCGCCCAAAGCCAGACAGGACAGCCAAAGTGGGCGGGATCTACTGCATCTGTAAGGACCCTTCAGAGGTAATAAGGATCCATCCCTGGCCAGACTTGAGGGTGGAAGCAAGTGGACGTTATGCCTTGAAAGCTCCCACTTTGAATTTCAATTTATTTCCATTCTAAGTTCTTGCAGTGATAGAAGTACAGAACCCCATAGCAATAAGATGTCTGGCACAGCGCATATCGCCCCAGATTTCACCCTTTATTTTGATCAGACTGAGATCGCAGTGCCAGAAACACACTCTCCGCTTTCAGACGTGAAGGCAAGACTAATTTCACACGCCCAGATCAAATAAGTGTAACATTTTCTTTAAAAATCTTTTTCTATAATAGGTTGATTAATTTTGCATGGGAGAAGGTGACTCCATCACAAATTCCATGCTGAGTTCATAGTGAGTTCATGTATAAGGAAATCTAATTGAGCTCTTGAAAAATCACCGGAAGATTTGTTCTCGAGTCCAAGAATTCATTTATCAGCTGGACAGGGTGGGTGAAAGTAAGGAAGAATTAGTTAAGAGTTCTCATCACACAACAGCACTTCGCTGACTCTTCAGTAAACTTGACCACGACTTCCGCATGCATTGCTGCTATCCCGTTTACTTCTATCTGAAGTGATTACACATACGCCAGTTTCTCGCCTTGATTGTTTTGACTGGCCTTCACCTCTTTAATACCCCATTTAACCAAAGACTCTTAAATCAAGATATGATATCTTTCTGTTGAATATGATAAATTATATTCGGAATTCTATTTCGCAAATGTGATACTAAATGAACCATTTATATAAGACTACCAAAGAGATTATATAACCCGTTTTATATAAGAAAATGAGTTTAAAATTTGGCCTATGTTATAACATACAGATGGATGGACGGACGGACGTACGGATAGATAGATAGATAGATAGATAGATAGATAGATAGATAGATAGATATTTAAATGATCGTTTTTAGATGGTATTTCGTATTTATTTTCTGAGCACTGCAGGAGGTCAGCCGATGGGGGCACAGTGCGATCTCTCGGGCAAAGCGATGCTGCGTTTACAGTAGCGCACTAAATCAGCACTTGGGGGCGCTCGTCCCTACCGAAACAACCCACGAAGTGTTCCTTGCAGGTCCGCTATGGTCATCGGCAGAAATGAAGATGTATGTAAGTTTCTTAGCCAGAGGCGTATGAGTAAGACGTCGCATTCGCCTTTTATGTAATGCGGCTTATGCTGAAAGGCATCTCATTAGAATTATTACTATCCTGCCCTGAGTCGAGGCTTCAGAAAGAGCCAGGCGACACCAGCCTGTAGATTAACGACATTCCCCGAACAGGTAATTTAAACTTAAAACTCTTCTCAACATGACTGGCGTAAAACCATGCCATGCCTGCTTTTAATAATATGATGATTTTAAAATGTAATATTGGCTATTGTGCAGTTAAAAAGAAAATTGTTTACATTTCAGTATTCGGTCAGAAATTTGTAAGACGATAAGTGGTTTGATGTAATTTCATGTTATATCTGTAAAATATAGGTTATTTTCGAAATAAGTATTAGTGTGATTTACAATTATTTGCTGTACTAGAGTGATTGAAAACCACCATAAAACGTTTTGCCCAAACCGTGTATATTGCAGCGGCTATAGGACCAGGTGTCCGGGTGTTTATTATAGGGCAGTCCTCCCCGCCCATTCCAGCCAGTCTGTTGCGGGGTTTCAGAGATAGCGGGAATGCTGGTATTTACCGAGGTGGGGGGGGAAGGCGACCCCATACATGCTGCGGGACACCCGGGGTGTAGTACGGGGCAGGAGACCGGGCGGTGAGTGGGTAACTGGCGGCGTTAGTGCCCTTCCTTGTGGTTTGCGTTTGGCGTGGACTCCGGCCATACAGGGTCCGGGAAAGTTCTATCATGTGGCATGTCTGTCGCGTGTTCATTACGATATTTTGTAAAATTCCATTCTTACACTTAATTACCTTGACGTCTCATCAGCCATCTATCATCCTGCAGTGACTTTTATTACTTCTACTACCGCTACTTCTATTAATGTTATATGTCGCAGTGTAGCTATTTGTTTCGCTAGTAATTTCTCTTGATTTTATTCTGTTATAGAAAAACATTGTTGTTCAGTGGTTGTCATGCCTTTACATGTGCGATCTTTCATTCTGGACTTTCTGGATTTACTTGGTCGCTTATGATGTTGCAGCATCAGGTCAGGTGTTAGTTGCTCCATATTTTTCAAAGGATGATTAGCGATCCTTTACTCCAGGGTCATCCTATCGTTTTGAAATACTGACAGGACATCACACACCAGTAATAGATACATTTGGTTCACCACAGTTGAGTTCTGGTGAATTTGGTACATAGCATGCATTTGGATTGGTACTTTGTCATTTACTTGAGTAGGCTTATATTAAAATGTGTTCTTCTGATATTTAACAATCAGTTGTCGAGTTCTAAGAATTTGCATACTTCGTGGAGAATGGTGGGGGTCAATGCTTTGCGGGGGGCGGTCCCTTTATAAAATGTGCCTAGGCCCTAGGGGATTATTGAGCTGCGGGGAGGATCGATCGCGTGGTCCGCATGCGCAGTCCGCCAGTTACGTACCCCTGATGTGGTTGGTAGAATGAGCATCAGTTGGGTTTTAGCTTTGTTAGCGACTAAATAACCCCCCTCGCGCTAAACACACATATTCAAATCTGCACCCGTGGTCGACAGTTTATCCTTTACCTGCGGTAGTAATTGTGCAAAACAGTAGTACTCTTAGCTCACTTAAAGTGAAGCAAAATATTTTCTACTAAGCTAACAGACTTCACTCATCACCTTTGATTGATGGAATATGACGCGTTTTCACACCCACCCAGTGAAGCACGCCTCACCTGTAATTTCCAAATATGCGCACCCCCCCCCACCCCCCACAAGATGGAGGCACTGTTAGATCGATGGCTGTGGTGGCACGAGTACTGGCTCCCCCCGGGCATCACCTGGGATGACATGGAGATGGAGGGAGGCACCCCTCGGCCGCGAGACCTGCTCGCCACGCTTCCCCTGGCCCTGGGCTTCGTCGGCCTGCGTTTCGTCTTCGAGAGGTAAACGCTCAGGGGCGGGGCTCCAGGTGCCTTGCATGTGGTTGGTCGCTCGTCCCTGTGCATGGCCCTCTCGCTCTCTCAGCCTCTGAGCCTCGCCTCAGCCAGAGGCCTCTGCCAGGAACACAGGTGTCTCTGTACCTGTGTATTATGCAAAGGAACCTGTTACAAGGAATGCGACCAGGAGTGGTGCAGAGTGACGAGTAACAAAGAGATACAATCCTTTAGTATGGGCTGAACGCTTAGTGGCGGTTTTCTTATTTGATGTTTCCGGCATAAATAAGGAACCGTGCCGAAACTAAGAAGGCCGCTTGTCATGCATACAAATCGCTTATTCAAAACACGCTAAATGGTTAGGTAAGTGATAGCCTAAGGAGGTGAACACATAGCTTAGTGATGTGTAAGGGAGTTATGTAATGTATGATGGAGTAATGTATAAGGGAGTGATGTATAAGGCAGTAATGTAATGTATAAGGGAGTAATGTAATGTATGAGGGAGTAATGTATAAGGGAGTAATGTAATGTATGAGGGAGTAATGTATAAGGGAGTAATGTAATGTAAGAGGGAGTAATGTCTAAGCGAGTAATGTAATGCATGAGGGAGTAATGTATAAGGGAGTAATGTAATGCATGAGGGAGTAATGTATAAGGGAGTAATGTAATGCATGAGGGAGTAATGTATAAGGGAGTAATTTAATGTACGAGAGAGTAATGTATAAGGGAGTAATGTAATGTATGAGGGAGTAATGTATAAGGGAGTAATTTAATGTATGAGGGAGTAATGTATAAGGGAGTAATGTATGAGGGAGTAACATAATGCTTAAGGGAGTAGAGCCCCCGTGAGTGGAGTTGTCTGGATTTCAGTATTTCTCATGGCAAACAGGGAAACAGGGCCTGGAGGGCCTTGACCTCCCCTTCTTCTCTCTGGTCTTGGTTATTTGAGGTCAAACGCACAGGGTGAACACACACACACCGATGAACACTCACATGTGCATACAGAAACACGCACACACACCGATGTGGTATGCCCTTCTTGGGGGGCTCAGCAGATGAAGTTTTTGTGTCTGTGATCAGAAGCTTGCTGGTTCAAATCCCATCCTTGGTATAATCATGCTGTTGTTGAGCAAGGTCCATCACCCCCTGAGAAACGATAAATGACTCTGCACTCTGACAGCTTTGCTGTCACCTGTGTGTGTCTCAAAGGAGAGCAGGATGAGATGTGCAAAAAAAAAGCATTCTAGTGTATCCAGACTCATATATCGAAAAATGAGAAATAAAGCATCATTTCATTAGACTACAAATCATACTCTTTATTTGCTCCTCCCACAAAGGATGGTCCCCACTTTAAATGATGTGCCCTCATATCAAGTAGCCATTTGAAATGGAAGGTTACTATTTCTGGGACATTCTTAAATATGCACTGTAGCAATGTTTAGTGCATAGCCTATGCAGAGAAGCTGAAAGTTTGCAGACCCCTAACCAGCCTTGAACTCCCTCCAGGGCAGTGGCACGGCCCCTGAGCGTGCAGCTGGGGGTGCGGGACCGGATTCGGGTACGAGTCTCTCCTGTGTCTGAGCTGGAATCCTTCTATAATCAAAACAGCCATCAGCCTTCACAGGTGAGTCTGCTAGAGTAGGCAGAGTGTTTTTTTTCCAGTTTGATTTTCAATTGTTTGAAGGTGAATTAAATATTTTTCCACTGATGGCCCAGAGCTAACCTGGTGGCTGTTTCTTGGGTGAGGTTTGCTGCCCCCTTAGATGTACAGCCCAGGTATTCTAATGGTGCTTCTTGTACGAAAGACAGATACAAACGATGCCCCAAAGCAAACCAAGAGCACCATCTAGTGGTGTAAAAAAATACAGCAAATGGTTCATGAAGGGTCTCTTTGTCTATCACTAGAATACAGCCTATCAGTGTGTATCTGTAGCTTGATCTCGAATCTCCAATGTCTGCAAAGCACAAGGAAACTGACTTTATCTGAATTAATATTCACTGGTGGGCATAGATGTTTGACAAACAGCTGGATATCAGTGTCTCTTTGTGATACCAATACAAAAAAACAGTCTTTTATTTTATGGCCAGGAAGTTTTAAGGTGAGGAGAAAGGGAGGGTCGGGCTTATATAATAACCATATTCTCCTGTTATTGCACCACAGGAGCATCTTGAGGAGAACCTGTCTCCGCTCACACTGGGGGTAGAATAAGGAAGCATTTGGCCTTATTGGTAACACAGAAATAATTGATGAAGCTCCCAAGTATAACTTGGTGCCCTTTGTGTGTCTAATGAAGTCCCTGATCCATCATGATGTCCTCGTAGGGTCATGCATTTCTTAAGACTGCCAGTATGGTAGCAATACTTCAGAAAAGCTGTGCGTTGTGTGGTGGGGCGACTTTTTAAAGTTGAATATCTGTCTGATTTTGGGTTTTTTAGAGAAAAAAATAACTTTTTATAATGTGTAATTATTCTCAGGTTAAAGGTGAACCTTTACCATCCAGCTTACTTCCTTTATCCAGCCCTCCCAGGTCCTCTTATTGATTTATAGATTGACTGTAACATAACATAATGAATGAAGGTATCAGAGCACAGCCAGGATGGGTAAAGAGGAGACCAAACTGAGGCCCAGTTTAAACAGCGAATGCCGTAACCTTGGCCTAAAGTACTATTTTCACAGTAGGTTGAGACGGTTGGACTGGAGACCTTGGTTCCTGGATCCTATTTTTTAAGGATCCTTTGGTTTAATGCTCCTGTCCTTGGTTCCTGGAGTAGTATTACAGAAAAGGGCTGCTGCTCTTTCAGAAAAAAACATCACGTTTATGGTGATTTTCATTGAGTTGAGTTAGTGTGACAATAGATGACTGCCGACCACATAAACTCCAAGTTAAATTATGATGGAATTGCTGAGGAGGAATTTTATAACTTTCAGGGACCTTGCAGGCTTCCCTCTTGCATAAGCCGCTCAGGATCGGGGCCTGAGAGAGGCAGGGATACCCCGGTAGATCCAGGTTGCGAAGGTAATATGTGAAATTGCGCCGTAGAGCTCAAGGTGACATTTTACTTGGTGCCCAGAATTTCTAAGAACACGCGTGCTCTTCACTGGATAGCCATTCTGTACTCCACTCACTTGTCTGGGCAGGGGCAGCCTATGGCTCAGTGGCAGTCATCAGATGGTTACCAGTTCAAGCCCAGCTTCCCCAGCTCCATGGGTGCTGCTGTAGGTGGCCTCCCTTCCCAGCCAAGCTTGCTCTCTCCTGTGTGCGTCATGGAAAGCAAGAGGAGAGTTTCCCCGCAGGGATCAATGAAGTTATTAGGTCATTTTTATTATTCATATGTGCCTCTGCAGCGGGGAGTTCCCACGTCACCTGCGGGCAACACATTTACGAGAGACTCCTCCCCCTGCAGGGCCTTGAACTGTGTCACTGTCTACAAGTCAAGTTTAAGCGTGACAGGGCAAATCTGCACTCATATTAGTCTTGGGCGGTTTGCAATTATCGATTTCTCAATCAATCATGGTTTTATTTGTCACGTACACAGTTATTCTCGGTACAAAATGCAGTGAAATGCTTAGTTGCTGTAGGGCTGTGAAAGCAGAGACACAATTGGAAAGAAGCTAAAGATAAATAACATCAATAAACATTAAACATTAATCATAAATATCCATAAATAGAGTGCAATTTGCAGTAATGCGACAGGTGGAAGTCAAAAGTATTTATATACGTCCAACGGGAGAACATCTGAGGCTGCACAGGAGTATGTTGAGTAGGCTGTAGTGGGACACCGTCTATGCATAGATCCTAAACACTGTCCCCTAAGGATCTGAATGCCTGGGGAAAAAACCTTTTCCCAGCTTTATTTATCTGTACCGTCTCCTTGAACACACCAGCCAGCGTGCTTTAATTCTTTCCGCCCCTGTTCAGAGCTCCATCATCAGCCTCAGTAAGAAGTGCGATCTCACTCAGCGGCAAGTCGAGACATGGTTCCGTCATCGCAGGAATCAGGACAGGCCGAGCAACACCAAGAAGTTCTGCGAAGCCTGGTAAGTCCTGCGTTAACGTGGTACTTCTGAAAGTCACACACTGCCAGAGGTGGAAGTTTCAGGTTCAGAAAGTAAAAATCCAGGCCAAGATTTTGTTTCAGCCAACCTGTTGAGTACTATATGACTGTGACTCTTTATATTCAACTGGTTGGTTGAAACTAAATCCTGGTCAGGATTTTTTACTTTCTGGACCTGAAATTTCCACCTATGCACATTGCGCGTGCTTCTCCCTCCCGCTGCTTTATCATACACAGGCATCGGCCCTCTGGTCTTTATCCTGTTCTCTTTCGTTTTGCAGCTGGAGGTTTGCTTTCTACCTCTTGGCGTTTTTTGTCGGTCTCGCATCTTTGATCAATGTAAGTGATCCAGTTGTGTTTGTGTGGAGGGTGTGTCTTTGTGGGGGTGAAGTTTCACATGTTCTCCCCATGTTTGCTGTTCTCTTGGTTCTCTGGTTACGTCTAGTAAACCAAAGTCCTGTGGTTAGGTGATTGACGACCTCTGAATGGCCTGTAGCGTGGTGTGTGTGTGTGTGTGTGTGCCCTGTGATGGACGCCTTGTGTGTGTGTGCCCTGTGATGGACGCCTTGTGTGTGTGTGTGTGTGTGTGTGTGCCCTGTGATGGACGCCTTGTGTGCGTGTGCCCTGTGATGGACGCCTTGTGTGTGTGTGTGTGCCCTGTGATGGACGCCTTGTGTGCGTGTGCCCT